ATACAATTAGTTACTTTTTTTATGGAGTAACACAATATTGTAACGAATTACTTTTAACACGGGTGCTGACAGATGCTGTAGTGAGACGATCATCTCTTCCTCTTTACTACTAGTTATAGCAGCAAATAAACACGAATTAACAGCAGAAGAAACAGAGCAGCTCACTGAAATCAATCATGAATCGTGTAATCGATCAATCAGTGATTCAACCGCAGAAAGACGTCAGTAAATCAGCTTGAGATCAATAATGTCACATTTACCTCAGGAAAGACATTTAATGAACATAAAACTCGATAGTCAGCTAGAAGAAAATTCTACAAAATTTTCTGCTTCTTTCTAGAAAGAAGCATTTTGATCAATATATGCACTATTAAATTTTTTTATATTTTTATAAATCAATCAGTTATGACATCTAGCATTTAAATGTTTAATTTTAATAATACTTATTATTAAAAACCTATTTTTATTATATAAAACTGCCTTTAAATGTTTGTTTATTAATCAGTTTAATATAGTAATGCACCAACTGACGGGGTTTATAGTAGTTTAGTTGAGGCATTATTAGAGAGATTTTTTACTTTAAAAAAAATTGACGTGCTGGACCTGATCCAAATGAATCGATATCAAATCGAATTGAATCTGAATGGAATCGATACCCAGGTGTCTGGTGTTTTCTGTTGGTCTGATGCGGTGGAAAGATCACTCATGTTCTGGTCTTTTGTGGCTAAAAGGTTAAACAAGAAATATTAGATAAATAGATAAATAATTATGGAGGTTTGCTGCTGTCCCGTTCTCTCCGCCGCTGATCGCCGCTGCGCTCCTGGTTTTGCACAAACTGATGAATCGAATAAAAATTACAGTTAAGTGAAGCGCTGACATTTCTCTGCCCTTTTTATCCGGCCGCTGACTGACGTGAAGGTCAGCGGCTCGGCCGGCGTTCCTCGGCTGTTACAGAACTGGATCCTGATGCTAAGGCGTGTTTGTGTTGCAGGTATCTGCTGAGGACCGTCAAACAACCAGCGCTGCTCAAAGACCCCGATGTCCTGCAGTTTCTGGAGAGTTCAGAGGTACCGTCGCATGTTTCATATGGGGACGTCATATTATCAAACACTTACTGAGCTGCTTTTGGATTTTATTCCCATCAGTCATTTTTCCCATTCCATGTTTGTAGTTTACAGCATTTCATACCTTTAATAAATTGGCATTTACAATAACTAGAGGTAACAGCTACTATTGACAAGCTGGGAAAAATTCTATTGTTTCTTATGGATAAATGTATGGAAGCTCATTTCCGTCACGGGATAAAAAATAAAAGAGGTAATTGCACATTTTTATCTCACAATTCTGACTTTTGTTCTTGCAGATCTGAGATCGATTCACAGAATTGTGAGATATAAACTCTGAATTGAGAAATAAACTCTTAATTGCAATAAATAAACTTAGAAATTATAAATAAACTCAGAATTGAGAGATATAAGCTCGGAATTATAAGATATAAACTCTGAATTGCAAGAAATACTCAGAATTGAGAGATGTAAACTCAGAATTACAAAATAGAAACTGAATTGCAAGAAATAAACTCAAAATGGGAAGAAATAAACTCAGAATGGCAAGAAATAAACTCTGAATTAATGAGATATAAACTCTGAATTGAGAAATCAACTCTGAATTGTGAGAAATAAACTGAATTGTGAGATATAAACTCTGAATTGAGAAATAAACTGAATTGTGAGATATAAAATCTGAATTGAGAAATCAACTCTGAATTGTGAGAAATAAACTGAATTGTGAGATATAAAATTTGAACTGAGAAATAAACTGAATTGTGAGATATAAACTGAATTGAGAAATCAACTCTGAATTGTGAGAAATAAACTGAATTGTGAGATATAAACTCTGAATTGAGAAATCAACTCAATTGTGAGATATAAATTATGAATTGCAAAGGAAAAGTCACAGTTACCCTTTTTATTGTTTTATTCCTGGGTGGAAACAAGTTTCCATATGAATGTGTTTTCCTGGCGCTTTGGAGTCGATTCTCTTGAAAAAACTGCATGCGGATGTTTCAGATGAACCATCTTGACATCAGTTTATACATGGAAAGGAACAATTGTGTTTTCTTCATTAAATTCAAGTGAGAGAAGTACATTATATTACGTAAAGTCACCTGTGTTAATAGCATAACGCTTTTGATCGTCGCTCTCAGTTCTCCTAAATAACAGAACAGATCCAATGAATCTCTGCTCCTCCAGTCCCTTATTTTCTCTTTATAGGCCAGAAGTGCCTTTGGCGTGAGCGCCCAGAATGTCTGTATTAAGTATGTATAATGGAAGACTGCAGCAATTGTAAAAGGCTAAACGCTCAGGCCGATTGAAAGCTATTTTTGCCCGTGGGCCCTCTGAGAGTTTTCCAGGGTGAAACGTATTAAATTGGACCGGCATTGAAATGTATGGGACTGGAGAAAATCCCAGTGCGCTGCGGGAGGAGAAACGCTCCCCGCGGGACGGGTCTGAGCCGCGGCCTGTTAACCAGATTGTTTGCCCTTATTTGTCATTTTATCCCAGCTGCCGCGAGCGGTTAGCACACAGGCGCTGAGTGGGGCCGGAATATTGAGGATGGTAAACAAAGCGGCCGATGCTGTCAACAAAATGACAATCAAGATGAATGAATCGGATGCGGTAAGGCTCTGATTTTTGGACTTGAATAATGAGACGATTTAATGAGCTGCTCTCTGGCTCCAGTCCTAAGGTGTGTGTGTGTGTGTGTGAGAGAGAGCGGGGGTCAGGACATGTGACATGCGTGTGCTCTTTATACACTGAACACAGCTTACAGTCAGTCACACGGCAAAAAATGATTCTCTTGCTTAGTGTTTGTGTCTTGTGTTCTAGTATAAATATCTAAACATTCTTGAATCAAGATGCATTTACTGTACAAGTAAAATGATTTAAGATATTATGTCTTGTTTTCAGTAAAATAAATACAAAAATGTTGTTAGTTTTTGCTTAAAACAAGCAAAAATATCTGCCAATGAGGCAAGAAAAATAATCTTGTTTAGCCTTTGTGTTAAGATTATTTTTCTTGCCCCATTAGCAGATATTTTTGCTCGTTTTAAGCAAAAACGAACACAATTTTGATGATTTTTTTAGAAAACAAGACTTAATATCTTAAATCATTTAGTGTGAGTGTGTGTGTGTGTGTGTGTGTGTGTGTGTGTGTGTGTGTGTGTGAGTGTGAGTGAGTGAGTGTGTGAGAGCGGGGGGTCAGGACATGTGACACGCGTGTGCTCTTTATACACTGAACACAGATTACAGTCAGTACAGTGTTGCACATCCCTCAGACTTACATGTAATCATGAATTTAGACTTTAAGAAAGATGACAGCTTGTACTCTAAAAATAAAGGCTCATAATTGATCTTTATGGAACCTTTCAAATGCTTAAAAGGTTATTCGCACTAAGAAAAAAATATTATTTTGAAGCTTTATTTTGAAACATGCATACTGTTATTATCATCATTTGGACGAAGTGTTTGTGTGTTCCTGTATAAAGTGGTTTGAGGAGAAACAGCAGCAGTTTGAGAATCTGGACGTTCAGCTCAGAAAACTTCACGCTAGTGTGGAATCACTGGTGTTTCACAGAAAGGGTAAGACACGCTCATAATACGAACAATAACATCATAGAAATATTAAGAACACGTGTTTTATGAGTTATATTTATGATCTTATAGACTACCAGTCAAAAGTGTGGGGTTGGTTAGATTTGTAATGTTTTAGAGTTTCTTCTGCTCACCAAGGCTGCATTTATTTGATCAAACATACAGTAAAAATGTGAAATATTATTACAGTTTCAAACAGCTGTTTTCTATGTGAATGCAAAGAAAAAAGTAATTTATTCCTGTGATGCGCAGCTGTATTTTCAGCATCATTACTCCAGTCTTCAGTGTCACATGATCTTCAGAAATCATTCTAATATTCTGATTTATTAGAAACATTTCTGATTATTATCAATGTTGAAAACAGTTGTGCTGCCCAATATTTTTGTGGAAACTGTCAGACAATTCCATTCAAAACTTTTGGAGTCAGTAAAATAAAAAAATTTAAAAAAAAGGAAAAAAAGTAACACTTTTATTCATCAAGGCTGCATTAAATGGATCAAAAGTGCCAGTAAAGACGTTTAATAAATGCTGTTCTTTTGAGTTTAACAGATATTCACATAGAAAACAGCTGTTTTAATTAATAATAATAATTCACATTTTTACTGTATTTTTGCTCAAATAAATGCAGTCTTGGTGAGCAAAAGAGCCTTCATAACTATTCCAGATTTGTGACCGGTAGCGTATATGCTGCATACTGACTCTTCACTCTCTGACTCTCAGAGCTGTCTGTGAACACGGCGTCGTTCGCTAAAAGCGCGGCTATGCTGGGAAACTCGGAGGATCACACGGCGCTGTCGCGAGCTCTGTCCCAGCTGGCCGAGGTGGAGGAGAAGATCGACCAGCTGCATCAGGATCAGGCCTGCGCTGATTTCTACCTGATCTCAGAGCTGCTGGGAGACTATGTGCGGCTCATCACCGCCGTTAAAGTGAGTGGAAGACATCCTGAGCGTTTCATCTGGCCAAAGAGACGTCTGGTTTTACAATAAACTTCAACACACATGAGGAAAACAAAAGTACAGTGCATTTAAATCAAAGACAATTGTGACCCTGGAGCACAAAACCAGTCATAAGGGTCAATTTTGTGAAATTGAGATTTATGCATCAGCTGAAAGCTGAATAAATAAT